GTTTGTTTTGTTTTCTTATCAAACACATGCTTAAAGCACTGTGTCTGATTTCTAGTTTTGTTTTCAACAGTGGAACAAAAATTTAAAGGCACTTGGGAGGCAATTTGCATGCAGAATACCTCTATATGTAACACAGTATTTCTTGTTTCCCATACTGTTTTACCATTAGACACCCACTAGTACATTTCATTTGATCATAAACATTTATTTTTTCTTGATACATTTGAAGCATTCAACTTAATTCTTTTCACATCATATTTCACTGATTTATATAGTAGTTAAAAATACATAATTGCTATGACATGTACTACTGGCATAAACATACAGAGTTGCAAATACAATTCATTCAGTGAACATTCAACTCAACTTGTAAGAGAAGTAAGTACACTTACATCTGAAAAACCCACAGTTATATGATTTACTAGTGGCCCCATGAAGAAATTTGTCCACAGGGGGGTATGTGTCCCTCAGCCTAGCTTGTACCATCTCCAATCTGGGATATTCCTCTCATAATCTGGGTCTGCTGGCTCCTAAAGGCTCACCTGTCTGCCTGCCTAATTCCCCCTAACCTCTCTGCATGCTGGCCTGCTTTCATCCAACTGCCTTCCCCCTCTGCCCCCCATGCAGGCCTGCTCACCGCCAATCCCCTCCCCCTGCCAGCCTGCTCACCCCCAACTGCCTCTCTGCTGGCCTGCTCACCCCCAATTACCCCCCCCCCCCCCACTGGCCTGATCACTCCCAACAGTGCCCCCCTACTGGCCTGGTCACCCACAACTGCCCTCCCCTGCCCTCCCCTCTTCACCCCTCACCACCTCTACCTCAGACTGGCCACCATGGCTTTGTCCAGAACAACGTCCAAAAGGTTTCCCAGTCTAATTAACACAGTCTTATTAGTATAGATAAGAGGAAGTGGTGAGTATTGGTTCATCTGGTCAGTAAGTTCAAATAAATGTAGTGAGAGATTCTAGTTCCTTTAAGATATTACTTTTAGATTTCCTTTGTTATTCTGGCTTCTCTATTCTTTTTTTTTTTTTTTTAATATATTTTATTGATTTCTTACAGAGAGGAAGGGAGAGAGATAGAGAGCTAGAAAAGTCGATGAGAGAGAAACATCGACCAGCTGCCTCCCGCACACCCCCTACCGGGGATGTGCCCGCAACTGATGTACATGCCCTTGACCAGAATTGAACCTGGGACCCTTCAGTCCACAGACCGACGCTCTACCACTGAGCCAAACCCACCTCGGCTGGCTTCTCTATTCTTTAGAATTTAGCTTAAATTTTTGATTTCCATATAAAGGGCCCTCTTAATCAGATTTGTTACTATTGTACATGCAGTCTCAGAGGTATCATTTTGAAAATTGGAACCAACAGAGAAGCTTATTGTCATTCTAAGGATTTTAATTTTCAGGTTAGGCTCTTTTTGTTTTCCCTCATGGACCTGGTTGGTTCCCTTTGAAAGTTTCCCAGAATCTGTCAACTAATTTTTAGAACTATCCCTTTTTGTTCTTCCTACAAGAGTTGCCTAATAATATCCATGCAATCTCTTTTTCTGTATTTTTTAGGGACAAAAAAATATGCTGCTTCTTATAAATGATATTCTTCTCCACCATTTACAATGTATCTACTAAACTCACAATGGTTTCATTCACCATCTTCTATGTTTCTCTGTAGGTGGCTATGTTGGATTATGGAGGACCATTAGGTTGTACATAGCAGGTGACCACTAATGCAGTTGTCTAACATTTGCAGAAAATGACTTAGAAGCCTCTTCGGTCTGTGGACAGAAGCTACATGGTCTATAATATTTGGGACCAAGCACAGTGGTGAATTTGCTGCATCCACCAGCCACACCCTCAGGCAGACTGGGCTGGTCTGCATGCAGCACAATTCTGAAGCATTCACATTAAGCAGGAAAATACAGAAGGAGAGGTGGAGGCATCACATTCTCTTTGGGGTATACAAAATAGCTCCCCAACTTGTAGAATAAATTTGTGTCATTCATAATTCCATTCAACAGGTAATGACAGAGCTTTCATAGGCACAAAGCAAGCTCTGGCTGCTTTTCCCTTTACCAGCGCTCCATATGTATTTGTGCCATCAGAAAATAAAGAATCATGAGTCAAATACTGAACAGACCACCCAAAAAGCCAGCAACAGTTGTCTATGACTGTGAGCTGTATGGTATGAGAGGGCAGCATCACACTCTCTATCATTCTTCCTCACAGAACTATTAATCTCCATCCTTTACATGAGAATGGCTCCTGGAAGTGAGGATTTCTTGGGGACGAATATGGAGTGTGTGGGCTGAGAACACCCAATGAATAAACACAGTTCTACTGTGAGCATGCACACCTTCTGCTGCCATTTAGATATAAATGTAAGAAATTTGTGTTGGCCAGTGAAAAAGCTTAAATACCTAGAGCACTCATCATGACTCGGAAACAGGGAGTACAAAAATCATTGTTCCAGAAAAGCTTCAAATTAAAGCAGGAAAAGTAGAAAAATTCATGAACATGCAACAGCTGTTAAAAATAATTATTATATAGGATCTTGATTATGAGAGAGAAAAAGAAATACAAGCTTTTACAGATGCAAAATTCTCTATGACCAACATTTATTGTAGTCCGACTAGAAAAGCAAAGAGATAATGATTTTTTCCTCACAATTTTGAGTCATAAATTATGAATTATGCTCTAACAGATAAAGAAGAGAGGAAATTGATTTAAGAGATGAGATCTATTTTACAATTCAGAGAGTGTTTTATTTTAACTTGAGGGGGTGGAAATTACATTTGATGCTCAGCTTTACTGAACATCCTTCTTTTTCTGAAATGAACTGCAATTGTTTTTTATCATTTCCCTGAGGAGTCCAGGAAAGATGTTTATGCCAAAGTTCAGAGGGTAAATTAGCAACACTGGCTCAATCATCTGAAAAAAAGTGCTGTCCTGAAGAATTTTCTAAGATGATGTCTTATAAATACACGACCAAATACGGTAGCCATTGATCAAATGTGGCTTTTCAACACTTGAAATATGGCTAGTTTGACATAGGAATTTCATTTTAGTTTAATTTCAAGTTCAATAGTGTCTAAAGTGCTGGACAGGGTAGTTTAGAGGACACCCCTGTCTTTATTCTTCCTCTCAGCCAATTAGACCAGGCAGCTGGGGGTTATTCTTTGTAAATTAATGTACATTGCCCCATACTCTTTGCTAGCCAAGACTCAGAATGCTCTGAACAAGGCTTATGGAACTTGTTTGAGCAAATTAGCCTATTAATAAGATTTAAAAAATAGCAAACAGCAAAGATCAGGCCTCCAGGCTTCTTTGCTAATTCATGTGTCTTCCTGAAGTCAAATATATTCTTGAGAGCTTGTCAAAATCAGCTGATAGTTTTGATATCTTTGTAATTAGCTACTTATTAATAATTAGAGGGCCCAGTGCATGAATGTTTATGCACTGTGGGGGAAGGGGCCCCTCAGCCCAGCTTCACCCTCTTGCAGACCAGAAGCCCTTGGGGAATGTCCAGGGAGTGGACCTAGGCCACAGTCTGGCCTTCCTCTGTGGGAGTCAATCTGCAGGCGAATTGGAGGATGCACAGGCCAATGAGCAGCTGGCCCTACCCCCCAATTTCCCCTCCACCACTGCCCGCCACCACTGCTCCCTGATTGCAGTCCCCTCCCTCTGCCCACTGGGACCCACCTTGGCTGGCCTGTCACTGCCCACTTGCTGGCCCTGCCCCTAGCTGATCAGTAATTCCACCATTCAGTTGATTTACATATTAGGCTTTCATTATATAGCATAGGAAAGGACAAAAGGTCAGTGATGCATTTAGTGTGGGTGAAACAGAATGAAGGGAGGGCTTGAAAAGACCACTGGAAACTTGCCCATCCTCTGGACTGGAGGATTTCTAAATCTCTTAGGGCATGTTGGTGCTGGGACTGGAAAAGGCCCGACATTATAAGTATGGCCATACATTCCCCAGGGCATCACAGGTCCATTTCCTGCAAATCCCTGGGGAAGGGTCCAACCAAGGGAAAATGAATGCATCCACAGTGATGAAGGGGTGGGGCCAGTGCCTGCCTGTGAAAATTTGGGATTACATAATCCACCAGACAAAGGAGCTCACTCTCTTGGCTCTTGGCTCTTGTTGCTCTTTTATATTTGCCTATGTTCCTGGGAGTCGCAAGGCCCATGGCCATGGACCCTGCATGCAATGGACTGATGGACTGCAGCTGGAAACACAATCTAAGCTAGCCTGATGATGGTCAACATGGAATGGGAACTCTGGGCAACAGCTTTAATCCTGCCTCTGCTAAAGGCACAGCTGGGCTTTCTCTTTGGCAGGTGAAGGGAAATGGAACTTGGGAAACTCAGGGGTTTAATCCCATAGAAATGAGGCTCTCTACAATATCTCACCATTGCCCATGAGTATCATAAATTCTTTTTTTCTCTTACACTGCAAGAAGCCCACTTCCACCAGCTACTGGAGGGAAGAGGGAGAGCTCTCCTTGGATAATAGTAACAGTTTGACTCTGTATGACTACATGTATCAAAATAAGTAACGGAACAGTTTGGTGAGAGCATTTAAACAAAGAGAACCTGTAAAATGCTGAAGTGGAATACAGGGAGTCTGTATTATGAGGAGGAATGAGAGAGAGAGAGAAAAAAAATAAACCCCAGGCATTACTTAAGACTGTTCCTTGCTTATTATAAAATACAAGAATACTAATACCAGTTTCCAAAGCAGTCAGTTATTCCCTGGCTCCATTTCATGATTTTGTTAAATTTCCTAGAGGACTCCTGATTGTTCCTTTCACCATTTATTATTTGTTGATGCATTTCTTTAAATGTAGCTTTAAAAAGTCAGAAATTTGAAAAACATTTCATTTTAATGACATAATATGGTTTTCCCATGGAGACAGCATTAACTTTTGAACATAAGTTACCTCTTGTCAATAGCATTTCAGTAGCAAAGATTGTTTTCCACAAAAACACGTACCTGGAGGAGGAGGTCGGAGGCTGGCCTAAGCCGCTGCTGGAACAGTATGCTTAATGTGCGGTTCTGTTGTTCCAGATCGAACACTCTTGTTTTCAACTTCACGCATTCCTCCCTTAGATCCTACAACAAACACATGGAAAGGGGAAAAAGTCTATAACTGAAATATAATACCTTAGCATATTGGAACCACATTTTATCTGGTATTTCAGACACATTAGTAAAAAATAAACTTTTTGTTCTTCAAAGCACCCAGAAATAAATCACACAGTGTTTTCTTCCACAGCCCATTGTCTGATAGAATTACTGTGTGCAGGGAAGACCATTTTTTTTTTAAATAAAAGCACCTTGAAATCAGAAATGCATTAATCTAGCATGCTATTTTTGAAGATGGTAAACCTCAGCGATATAAAGTCAATTTAAGTTTCCACCTGTATAGTTTGCCTTTTCATTGTCTCCATAAAAGCAATCATAAAGCACCAACCACAAGGACAATAATGTTTTTGCAGTGAATAGGGATTTGATGAACGAAAGAAACTATCACTTTTGATGGAGCCTTTCCCCGCCGTTTGTGGAAGAGCTGAAATTCTCAGCGCTGCGGCTAATAGAGTCGGTGATGCATTTAGTGTGCGGGTGAAGCAAGGATGAAGCGAGGGCCTGAAAAGGCCACAGGAAACTTGCCCAGTCTCCAAACTAGAGGATTTCTAAATCTGGGTGTTTTGGTACTGGGGCTGGGGAAGGAGAGAAACTGCACGTTGTCAGCCTTTCCCGCTGTCAGGAGGGGAGCCGGCACAGGAACCTTTCTCTGAGCCCCACCAGGCATCTGCCTTCCAGATGGACTTACCATACAAACACTAACAGTACTTAGGTGTCTGCACTCTCTGATGGGGCTCAAGAGAGACTAGAATAACTCCCCAATCCAGGGTTCTTCAAACGCTGGCTCCTTTCTACATTTTTGACCTTTCACTTTCACTATTTCATGATTTTTTAAAAAAATGTTTCTGTTCTTACCATGCACAGAATATGGATCTGTCTGTGGTTCTCCAAAGCCTTCCCTCTGCCACAACCACGTTCCCCTCTCATCCGCCTCTTTCTCGGGCCAAGTCTGGCTCTGAGTGCCATCCAGTTCATTTCTAGCTGGCTCCCCTCTGACACTCTTACCCGGGCCCTCAAAGACAGCTTTCTTTGGAGCTGTGAGCCCTCCCTGCCTCTGACATGAGATTGAGCGTATGCTACTTTGAACTGATTTTATCTTTCATGCTCTAGACTTGTCAATTACATGGCACATTCCTCAAAAGGCAAATGTCAGAAGAGAGTCAAACACCAGCGCAAGCATATTGTTTTTACACTCTTATCTCTTCCCTAGCACAGCATCACATGTAATCGGAGCTTAATGAACTTCTGGGATTATTTCATTAAAGGGAATGATGAGGACAAATCCTATTCTCTAGAGACAGTGTGATCAAGAGAGTTAAATTTTCTCAACTCTTGTGGCTTGTCCATCTCCGTATTCTGATGCGGGGCAGCTCCAGGCTTCACCTAAGGCCCCGTAAGCAGCAGAGAGCTCTGGCCAATGGCTCTGACTCCCGGGGTCTAAGCAGGAGTCACAGGCGTGAGTGGGCCTGTCCCACATCCTTGTGCCAACCTAAGTGTGAAGGTGGAGAGATCCACCGGTCTTTGCCTGAGGAGCCATCACCACCTCCATGCTGTTCATCGTTACAGGGGCCAAAGGAGCAGGCACAGGTGTGGCTCACTGCGCTTCCATTCTCCTCGCCTTTTCAGTAAATGGGTGGAGCTTATGCACAGGATGCTGGCAACTGATGGCTGCCTACAGAGGCAGAGCAGAGCACAGAAAGGTCATGTTCGGATGAGGCACCTGGGTGCCAGGTCTAGGAAGGTAGCCATCCAAGGCAGGGGCAGGGCTATATGTGTGTGCACATGCGCCTGGACACACCTGCCACTTGGCAGAGGCCATTTTGGGGGCCGAGGCACAGTTCGAATTAACAGGCGAAATTTATTTTCTTTATTTAAAATTCAGCCTCTCTGTCTCATTAGTGCTAATGCTTGTTCTTAGCATGTATATAACACGTCCTGCTCCCAAACACTAATTGTTTTTACTACTGCTAATTAAGTAATTAATAAAACTTGACTGGGAGGTAAATAAATATTTATAGCACCAGTTAGGTGGGAAACACACTCCTCACTCGCAGCAGAAAGCTGTGGGGACAGCAGCTTACAAAATGTGCATTTGCAAGAAGAAAGCAGACCTGCAAGGAATACCATCAGCAATTTCCAGCAGCAAAGCTGAGAATAACTAGGACGAGCCTTCGGATGGGTAAAAAAAAATAAAATAAAAGTGAGAAGGAGGAAATAAAGAAATCAATACACTCTACAGAGAGGTTCTGTACGAGTGCCCATCACTGCGGTGAGGGTGGTGGGAGTCCATTAGCAGGAACACAATTTATCGACCTGGAGAACTGCTGTCCCTGGGCTCATCCAGACCAGCGCAGGGCAGAGGGGACGTGGGGGCTTCTGGGATGTGAACCTGGTCTTTCAGCCACTGAGACTCACCGGTGAGCTGCGCTGAAAACTCCCAGACATAAAGGTATCGCCTGTGCCATTCTTTTAAATAGTTTTGTTCTCCTCAGTTAAGCCAGAGACAGTAACTTAGGCCAGACAGCTGTCATCGCAGGAAACTAATCCAAACCCTGCACGTGTGCTCACGTGCACACTTACAGACAGAGCCAGACCAAGTGATGGAAAGAGAGAAAGAAAAACAACACTCTCCCTGACCTCGGCAGTGCAGGCCAGGCAGGGCGGCAGCTGGCTGGCTGCTTCCCGTGCCCACAATGGGAACCGCCTTGAAGGAGCACGTGGCCCGTTTCAGGGGAGGTGGGGGAGGGAGATGGGGAAACTAAGGGAACATTATCATTAAGTGACTCCTCTGGTAGACACTGTTGTCTTGGGGCGTGGTCACAACAGGCCCGAGACCACCTGTCCTCTCCTACAGCCCTTCTTTTCCCATGACGTGTGTCTCAGGCCTCAAGAGGACCCTATTGAAGCTAGAGGGTTGTGTCTTCTGAAATCAAAAAGGAGACACAATATACCAGTGGGAAATAATGCCAAAGATTTGGCTTGATTTAGTCTCATGTAAGAAAGTATAATGGTCTTGGGTTCAAGAGAACAGCCAGGCCTGCTTTCCTTGCAACCTGTATGTCACCAGCCACCGAGAGTGAGGAATGACAGCTGAGTGTGAGGGCAAAATAAACTGAGCAACGGGACACGCTGATCCCAAAGGCCTCTGTGCACCTTAATGATCCCAAGTCATGACTGCCCTGGACCATGAGCACGTGGACCGCTCCGCCTGCACTGGGATGGAGATGCGGACTCACTGTTGCACATGCCTGCAGAGAACAGCTGCTCCAGCATTTACAGCAAAACCATTACCTGGCTCCCTGCTGTGGTAAGTGTAAGAACATGCTGATTGCTTCGGAGCAGGATATTCACCGACATTATCAGTAGACGATTGATGAAAACTATGTAAATCTTATTTTCCACATAAAAATGAAATTACACTGGTAAGCTCTCCCAGATGAATCCTTCTAGTTGGGAGGTAAGGGGCCTGGGCTCAGGGCCCATGTGACCTTGAGGAAATAACTTTTGCTGGTGGGGCCCGGCTTCTCCCCTGGAACCTGAGGTACTGCTCAAAACCAGGCTTTGGAGAAAAGGAACATCCCGCTGCTTTCTGGGACAAGATGGCTTCTGAAGGGCCACCAAATCCTTCCCCGAGTGGATACCACACCCCCAGCCTCTCCTCTGGGGAGTGGTTGTCATGGACACTTCCGTTCCTCTTTTGAGGATTCTAAGACTTCTGGAAAAAGAAAAGCCATTTCAGGAAAGGGCTGGCCACTTTCAGACTAACCAGGGATCAAGAACCTCCCCATGGACAGCTGCCATTGACAGGCAAGGCAGGTCAGCAGGGGTGTGAGCCGGCCAGGCCAGCTCTCATCAGGAGGAAGTGGTGCAGTTCCGGGCAGACTGCAGAGTGTGAGCCTTCATTCCACAGACACTTGGGTTTCACGTTTGAAGTCTGGGTGACAGCGAACCAGTTCATGTCATCAGAGTGAACCGAGACCATTACCAAAGCTCGTTGGCAATCTCGGGGCTGAATGCTCCTGAAGGTCCCTGGCAATTGTGAGATTCTCCAGCCCAAATTAAGATGGATGCTGAGAAAGCGTGACTCCCAATGCACAGCAGCCCTGACACCCCGCGTGGCCAGTCCTGGATGCTCTTGCTGGTGAGGCCTGACCCTGCTTCTAGGAGTTTTAAGAAACCTGTTGGTACCTTGCTCTTTTGTTTTACTCCCTGTGATCATAACTAATGGTTGGGTTTCCATGCTTCTGGGGATTTTCATAGCATTTCCTCTGCCTGCTGAGCTGCAGTGGGAAACAAGTGACTGACTGGGATCATGGAGGCTGAATAGTGCACAGGGTCAGCACAGTCAACTGTGGTTAAAGCACGGGCTATGCCACTTCGGCCATTAGAACTGTGGGCAAACTGCTCTCTCAGTTCCATCTCACAGGCTGCAGGGAGGGCAGACTGATTCAGTGCACTTAAAGTACTGGACATGGGGTGGGACCCCTTTTTAGTGCACAGTAAACAGTGGTTCATATGGAAAATAATATCATAAATAACACATCATAATGCAAGAACAAACTGTGTTTCATGTACTCACAACTATAAACCTGCTTTTGCCAAACCCTAAATAAACAGACCCTCTTGGAGGAACCAGAAGCCGCACACACTATTGCTAGACCAGCGGATCGGAAACACGTAGGGGTTTGAAGTTCTCTCAGTTTCAGGTTACCAAGTTGTGTTCTGCTTCTACCTGGATGGCTGTAGGGCTAGAGTCAGGATAAAGGAGCATCATTCTAGGATGGTGAAGAGAAAAATGCCCTAGAACTAGCTGGCTGCCCTAAAACATGCAGATTAGTCTGAGGTGTTGATATGCTGAAAAATAGCTGCAGGGAAAATTGCTTTTCTTTTAGGTTTGGTGTCAGTGGTAAAACACACACACACACACACACACACACACACACACACACAAATTGAAGAACCAGGAGAGTTACATTTTCAGTGAGTGTAACTGACTTAATGAAGATAAAATGTAATGCAGACAAAACAGGGGGCCAGCCCCATTATTGATTTCACTGCACTTGTAGAATTAAACCTATGCTTTGGAGTCACACATAGAAGTGAGCTGAGTTATTACTGTCACTTGAGCATCATGGAGCTAAAGGAGGTACAATCTGCTCTCTTAGGGAATCCACAGAGTTTTGAGATAAATTCAATTAGTTGCCTAGGATAATATTTTACATTTAATAGAAACTGATCAGTCTAAGGAAATGATTTTTCCTATTACTCCTATGACCAGAAACGCACTCCAGGATCCTCTCCCAGGCCGGACAGGGTATGCCATGGAAACTGCTCTTTCGGGTGCCCAGAGAGGAGCTGACACCAAGGCGGACTTACAAGTGACATATTGTAAACCTGAAGAGTTATGACTATAATTTCATCTCCAGGGTTATTTTTGTGACTTGGATAAATCTTTCAAGATTTATGTTTTGACTGGGCCTCTTTAAGAGGTACATCCTGTTGAGAATTAGTTTTCTCATCTGCATGTTGAAGGCATTTTACTTCCTATATTGTGCTCCTAAAGCAGTGCTAGTCATTTTGCGGTGGTTTTACAATCCCTATAAAAACCAGGAGGCACACGCTTCTGCAGAACATGATTCTTTTGGGATCGCAGGAGCCCTAGCTCTTCTGCTGATGCTGTCTCCGAGGCACGCTTTCTCCGGTAACATGCCCTTCTGTGTCTGACTGCTAACTGCACCAAGGAGATTGGATTTGTGCAGCTATTTCTTGTGGCTAACACAAGAGTCCCACTTCCCTTAATATTGTACCAGACACTTTCCTTGTCTCCTTCCCGGGGCACCATTAAACAGCCAGGCGTGAGAAGTATCTCAGAGGCACACACAGTGCTTCCTCTGTCCCCGGGAGTGCAATTAAATGAGCACAGAGCTTCTCCCAGGTGGGTGGCCACTGAGAAATTAAAGCCTTTGAAAAAAGAAAGGCATTCACATGGGTTGTGACAGAAAGCGTAACCTGCCCTTCAACATCTGTTTCTCCCCTTCTTCCACAATAATATGCCAACACAGTTTCAGGGGGCACATTTCCAGGATAAATACTGCATCTCCAGCTTCCTTACATATGGCTCTGAGGCAAAGGTCTGTTCAAGGAGGTATAAGTAGGGAGATATGAAAGCTTTTGAAAGTATTTCTTAAAGTATTTTGTGCCCTTTACCCTTTTAATTCCCTCCTCCCCCTCTCCCCACAGCTTTGCTTCCTTCCTGATGGCTGGAATGTGGATGTGATGACTGGAGCCAGAGTAGCTATTTTGGCCCATGAAATGACCTTGGGAATGGAGGCCATATCTCACTGAATAAGAAGACAGAGGCAGGATAATAGGAACCCTGTGGACTTCATGGAGCAGTGTCACCATACAGCCCTGTCCTGCCTACCTGTGGATTTGGAAGCAAGAAAGAAATAACATGGTAGCTTATTTAAGCCACTATTATTTGGGATCTCTGTAATTCAAAATTAAACCTATTTCTAACTTTACATAAGTATACCGACATCTCCCTACACTATCTGATGTTAATGTACAACCTGAAGCCATTGAAACTATTTGTAGCAGGAAACATGATATTTTGATAGAAGTAGATGGGGGAGAAAGTCTAACAAAACTATTATCATGCTTCTGCAATGTAAATATAAAATGCTATTTATTTAAGTATGCCTGTGAGAAATGGTCAACCCCTAATACAATTACTTTCAACTGAAAAACAAAATGCAATAAAGCATTTTGCCCTCATTGGCCCCATCCTCCTGAATAGGATTTAATCTAAGATTTCCTTTTCTAGAGGAAGTCTCCACCTCCCAGAGAAGTGATAGAATAAATGAAATGGTGAAGGACCTAGAACTTAGTCTCTGCGAAGCACTGTAGAAAGAGATGGGAAAGGGTCAATAAAATTCACCAGCTAATTTTGGGCAATTACCTGTATTTACCGACTTTGACCCAGTAACATTATGTCGTACTGTCTGAGGGCAGAATAGGGGGCTGGAAAGACACAGGCACAGACATTACCATTAGCTTGATAAAGGGGTCACTGACAAATTGAATAATGCGTCATTTATTTCATATTTCCACCACTACAGGAACGGCTCTCCATGCTCCCTTTCATAGAGGGGCCACAGCCACAGTAGTTCTGGGAGTGGGTGTTGCTACTCCTATTTTACAGAAGAGAAACTGAGGCCCAGAGAAACCAAATAGATTCTATAACCTCAAAGATCTCCTGCCAATGCCTGGCTTCTGTCAATGCTGTCTGTCAGAGGCTGTTTGTTTTACAGGAATTGGAGGGATCCACCGGCCTGTTCACTGTTTGCCTTCACTAAGTGAAAATGATAGGCCTGCTACTCATCTGGGAACCTGGGGAATTTTTCCTCGTCAAAAGGCTTCCTATTACTTTACTGAGAGCTTGAATGTTATGATTCTGTTCCTCATTGGTGTCACTCCATACACCCTCTAATACACACACAATTTTAACCTGAGCGAATAAATAGAAAAGCATTGCTTCTATCAATCACAATTTCTCAGTTTGACAATACGAGTTCCCACCTATTCACAAAGGTACTGTGAAAATAAGAAAGCCAGAAAGTGACCTACCTTTTGAGTGAGCAGAGCCTGAACAACTTGGTTGGCTACCTTTAAAAAATAAAGAAAAGAGTTGTCAGTATAATCACGAGGCTACACTCATGGACTCTAATTTAGCAGTAAGTTTCCCACAGCTTACTGTGGCTAATTAGCTCCTCATTTGCCTCTGTCCTCTACTTCCAGGAGATTGATTCTTTTCATAATAAGCCTATCCTTCTAGGTAATAGTTTGTTTTTTTCCAAAGGTGACCTTGTTGCTAATTAAGACAGTTATTCTGGAAAGAGCATTCATACCTTGATTTTCACTTTTCCATATTTGGAAAAAATAATATATTTCCACACGTAAAGTACTGCAAGAAGGCTGAAAGAAATGATACAGTGCAAAACACGATCCTAATTATCTGTACACAGTTTCTGCACTTTGCTGATGTACAATGTCCTTTGCCTCTCCTTTCTATTCCTTTGCTGTGGGGCTATTTCACTATAGAAGTACTTGCAGTAGAGACAGACTGAATGGTGGGGAAGAGGGACAACCCATTGTTTCCTGTACATTCCACTTCCCTCCTCCATGTCACACTTATGCCACCCTTTTGCCATTGCTACCTGTAATAGTCTAGTAGTTGTTTACTCCAATATCCATTTCCCCTTCCTCCTAACAAAAATGCCCTAATTTGTTGACTGGGCTTATCAAACTACATTTCACAGCCCCCTTTGCAACTGTCACTCTGTGACGTGCTTCTGGCCAGGGAGTTATAAGAAGACTATTTTTCGAGGCTTATACCAGTAGAAAGTCTCTAAGAAGAAGAAGGCTCACCCTTCTTCCTCTTTTTTTCTGAATGGGATAGGAAAGTGATGGCTGGAGTTTCAGCAACCACCTTGACAATGGAAGTCACATATCAAATACAGTTGGGCAGGAAAATAAAATAAACCTGGTCTTGATGATGCATGGAGCTGCACTATCTCCACTTTTATTTGAGAGGGAAATATAATAGCCTCTGTTATTTTGAGCTACTCCCAATGTAAAACCAAATCCTCTTATATAATAAAAGCCCAATATGCTAAGTATCTGGTCGACAGGTTGGCCATTCAACCAATCAAAACGCAATATGCTAATGATATGCTAAAGCCACTCAGCCCCTCATTATGACATGCACTGACCACCAGCGGGCAGTTGGTCAAGGAGTTGACCAGTTGCTATGACGGGCACTGACCACCAGGGTGTAGACACTCTGACTGTTTGGTTAGCATGCTGCTGGGGTCTGGCCAATTGGGACTGAGTGAGACAGGCCAGGCATGCCCTGGAACTCTCCAATGGTCCCTCCCTGGCCCTGATCATGCATTGGCCTGCAATCTCATTGCAATCTGGGAACCCTCGGGGGATGTTGGAGAGCTGATTTCAGCCCAATCCCGTAGGCCAGGCTGAAGGACTCCACTGTGCACAAATTTGTGCACCAGCCTCTCATATTATCAGAACTCTAATTTTCTCAAGGTTCAGGCACCTTGGGACAGTGAGTGAAACTGGGTGGGCCCCTCTCAGTCCAAGAAGGTGAGTCTCCATAAATCTAAGCCAATTTGGCAATCCCATTCCCTTATAGTAACTGGCTTAAAAGTGGCCACAATTCTGGTAAAGAGCCACATGTAAAACCAATAACATCCCTGGTATTTCAAGGATCTGGCCTTTTCTCCAGATAACCACTTGAAATTTCTACATCTTTTTGTACTGAAATTTCTTTTTTCTCCTGCATATTTCAAAAGCATTTCACACACACACACACACACACACACACACACACACAAATCACTTACTAAATTTCACTTAACCTTGAAGCTTTGTACCTAATATGGCTTCTATTGATAAAATGAATGTGGACAGGTAAATTATGTGATATTTTCAGCCACTACATGAACATTTAGTATGATAACTGAACCTGACAACATTAAAGATCAAGTCAGAACACTTAGCTATCCTAGGTATCAGGTACTTCTCTTCATTCCTTTCGTCATCCCTCATTTGTTCAATATAAATCTGCAAAACAGGATGACTGGGATGTGTGCCTTGGTTTCAGAGGGTGCATAGCTGGGAGGAAGTCAGCAAGAACACAATTACGTTGCAGTATGATAAGCATATAATCATCTTGGTATTTCTCACATTCAACCAAAGGCGAAGGCCTACACTTCCATCGTTTTCTCTTGGTAACAGATCTATTTTCGGCCATGCTGGACTGTGTGTGCTTGTATTCCTGTCTAGGAGAGTGGGACAGATTGTGGGAAGAATGTTTTCAGGGAGCTTAATTGTTTCTTAACTCAATATTGATAGAACAGCACATTCTTAACAACAGCTTGCCACCAGTAAGTCTCATAGAATATTGAAATGTAGGCTGTCATCAGCTTGTGGCTAGGAGGCATTCACACCACAGCAGTACATGACTAAATTACGGATAAATGACTCCTTGAATTGGGTGCATGAGAAGGATTTTTTCCCTACCAGAATCCTTTCCAAATTTATGTTTTCGACATTAAGTAAAAAGGACAAGCCTTTTATTGAAACTACAGTTTTGAAGAAAACACATTCTTAGGTATTTCTTTTAGACCAAGTTAAAGAAGCATACCCAAGAACTAGAATAGACCAGAGTAAACCATATTTTCCTTAATGGATATCTTTTCTTTTTCTTTTATCATTTCATTTACAATATATATGATCACAATGGTAATAAATGCTAGTTAGCTCACATAAACTGACCAACAGCATAATCTTGAAAATCTTTCAGTTTTTAAAGATCCATTCCAATTTGTAAGTAACTGAGAAGTTAAAGTCAAACGCTATATCATCATCTTTATTCTTGGCCAATAAAACACACTGAAGAATTGAACTAGTCACGCTGCTTGAAGCGGGAACAATGTACCAAAGTTAATTCATACCATCAATAATTTAATTCTTTTGGATCTCAAACTTTGGATGTGATTTACATTCTCATAAAACCGCCCGATACCAATATTTTCTTTTCTTCTGTCAATTGGTCCCTCACTTAAACCAGTCTGTGGAACAGTAGCCATATACAGCAGCTCTCCACACGATTTACCAGGAGACAGAAATGAATGTCCACACTGCACCAGCCCACAGCGGTAAACCCATTGTCTTTGCAATCAAGAGTGTTGCCCTACAGGCTCAACAGACTTTTTTGGCACAGTTCCTCCTGGCCTGTACGTTGGACAATTGTTCTACCTGAAAATTGAACAGACATACACGAGTGCATTCTTTCTTTACCTACTGACATGGGGTTTTATTACCCAGAAGGACTTCCAGGCTCTTTGTGGAAGAGTGGGCAGGCGGTACAGTGCTTTCCTGGCTGTTGTCTATGAAGACAGTGCCTGGGTTTGGGTACCACTTGTAACTGCATAGCTTCCCTGATGCATCAGCAGAAGCCTGGTCTGGAGCCTGAGCCCTCTGATAGGTCACAAGATGATCCCTGGGATGACCCGTCCCCATCATGGCATTACACTTTCAGAGCTTGGGTTGCAAACAATCACACACCCGCAGGCTCAGCTAATGAGAACAAACAACATTCAGTGTCACCTGACAGCTTTCTTCTGCAAAGAGAGGAAGAGCAGCGGCTGGGCTGGCCCACGGGGATCTGAGAGGCACTGAGCAAAGCTGACAGTTCCCAGGCCCCTGGCCTGTTTTACAACCTCCCTCAGGCTGTCTGTGGATGGCATCTTGCCTTGCTCTGGGAGCTGAGCAAGGCTGTGGGCGAGACAGGGATGCCAAGGAGAGGCCCCCGGTCCGCCTCTCCCATCCTCAGTGAGATCTCAGACAGGCCAGCTCCCCTGACACCGGCTGGTACACACAGGTCAGGTCGCTGCTCCTCCACCCTACTGCTCCCAGGGGCCAGGATTACCCCCAGCATTCACCTGCAAGCGGTGGGCAGAGGAAGGAGGGGGCAGGGCTGTGGAGTTATTATTTCATTGCAAAGCTGTTCTGAGGCTGAATGAGAAGGAACCGTTCTCAGCACTTCAGGAAGATGGCCCAGGGCTGGGGTCTGGGAAGGGGTTGGGGTGGGGGAGGTTGTGTGTGTGTGTGTGTTGGGGGGAAGGCTTTGGCAGTACTCTCCTCTTTTTGCACCTGCCGGTATATCATACCAAGCCAGGGCCAGGTCAGTGAGCTGATTCAGTAATGGGGTGAAAAACGGGCTTTGGAGAAGGTGCCTATGCTTTTGAGCTTGACCTACTGTCCTGAGGAGCTCTGGGCCATCACAGGAATGCTTCGGATTCAAGTACTGCCCTTGCTGATGTTGAAGATCTACTGACAGGACATGCACAGGGAGGAAGGACAGCCCCTACCTACACTGTGAGAAATACAAGGAGTGATGGATGTAGCCAGGGAAACCCCTCCGACAGTTCCTGATATAAAGCAGTCGCCCCATAAATGTGAAGTCTGCACGAAGTCACTCAAACTTTAGAGAATAAAATGCAATCTCAGCTCATTAGTTAGAAAGAATAAGGGGTTTTATTTAGAAAGGGATGACGTGTGTGTATGTGTATGCTACGAATGTATAAATATAAATTAGTAAGCACCTATATTATTTACTTACCCTGTTAAAAAATCTTGTAAAATACCGGGAGTAGGAGAAACTCTTTTAAACATACATGTGGTGTGCCAGAGAAAACTAACGTGGAAATTCATTTCCATTCATTTGTTTAGTCATTCAATGACCGTGCATGAAGTACCAAATCTGAGCCAAGAGTGGTGCTGGGCCTTGGAGAAAAGATGGGGACTAGGGCCTAGGTGCTGCCCTGTGTGCCTAGGGCTTGGGGCAGGCACAGGAGGCAGATTTCTGTCGATGTTGTGACAGTCGGCCCCGTCTGCCCAAGAGATAAGGACTCTGGAGACAGACCAGGCCAGGGGGGAAAAGTTTAAAAAATAAAGTCAGTCGTAACTCAGTGCCGTAACTCAGTGCCAGGAATTCCTTTGGGGTGGGACATGCAGACCTCCCTCAGGATCTGGCTGGGAAATTGGGGTCATAAAAACCGCAGCATCCTGCACTCCTGTTTGGAGTCAGAACAGACATTCTGTTTGAAGCAAAACAGGCCAGGTTGTGTAAATCACCTAAGGAATAGCTGAGGACGGCCAGTTCTTTGTCCTGAGGGGCCAATCAGGGAGTGACAGATCAACAGTGGGAGGGGTGGGAAAAAAGAAGTATAAGAGGAGGGACTGCCCCTCCATCAGGGCTCTTGCCTGGGTGTTTGCCGGCTGCTGCGTCAGCCAAGGTTTGAGCCCGGATTCGAATCTGTAATAAATTCTCGCATGATTAATCAAATTCGCTCCGGTGGTTCATCTCTTGGGGACTCGCTTTGTAACAGATGTCACAATCCTTTCCTAAAGTGAGCATCTGACCCAGGCGGGGGCCACAGCAGGACCATCTTCCCCCACATCCATCCAGACACTGATGTTAAGGATGACATAGGGCCCGGATGTGGGATAGGCCACCAGAGTGCGCTGCTAGTGAGTCCACATCCAGGTCTTGGGGTACAGAACAGGCACCAGAGGAAAAGCTACTCTTCACAACCCCCCTCTGCCTTATCTAGCCTGGGTTTAAAATGAGCACTGGCACTTTTTTCTTTGTCTGAACTGCATCCAAAGGCCTCAGTTCCCTGCCCTGTGCTCTGCAGTTCGGGGATCCGGAAGCTGGGAAGAGCTCCATGGTAGCACCCTCCCGGAGGGAACGGAAGCCTGGCCAACTCCACGATCTGAAGTAGGCAGGGCCTCCAGCATCTGTGTGCAAAAGCCTCGCCTGGGACGGGTATTGACGTTGCCAATGCCCTCAGCCCTCCTTCTGCTTGGAAGGGCCGGGTGGGGTCTGAGGACTTGCATTTGCAGCCATCGCTGCGCCTCTTCCTGACAGGGAAGGGCCCAGACACACCGGGAAGCACTGGGATAGGCTTTGCATCTGCTTACTGTTGGGGAATTGGAAATATCCCATTTCCACATGTGTCTGCTGTTCTTCCATCACATCCAAGTTTAGTGAAGCTTGTATCATGGCAACTTTCTAAAAATGCTCCCTAAGGCACAGCATGAGGATGTGGTTCCTAATTGAACATTTTACCCCTCACCCCCACTCCCCCACACACTATAAAAACTTTAATGCCTAGTGGGGGCACTCCATCCACAATCAGGTCATCTCTGAGGTGGGGCCCAGGCAGCAGCAGTATTTTTAAAGCTCCCCAGTAAGTCCAATGAGCAGGTCAGAGCCAGAACCACATGCCCTTCTAGATCCCAAGTGTCACCTGCTCCAGCTTCTTTTGCTAAGATCCCTTTCAATTCCTCCCTGCCCCGCCCTGCTCCGCCCACCACTCCTCCTGTCCCCTGGTGACTGTGCTGTGTGCTCTCTCAGTCCCCAGGGCACCCCATTTCCCCCATCAGCTCCCCTCACTTCATTCCTGTGACTAACCAACCGCTCATTTCTGCTAGGCTGGAGGCACTCTAGGGCTTGGGGGAGGTTGACTTCCAGTAAATATCTCAGGACACATGTTAATCCATCTATTAAATGCAAGGCAGCGGCTTGAGGAGGTGCTATCTTACTTATTTTTTTATGTGCCATTACACTTCTCTACGTGGGAAGGAGTTGGCCTTAAAGGAATTGGTCAAAGCAATACTGAGAACAAACAGCAATTCACTGCTTGCCTGTAAACCTGTCTGTCACACAGCTAGATGAAGACCTCAGATTCAGACATTACCACCTGATCCCCCAGGGAAAGTTCAAGGTCAGCCCTGGGCTTTGCCTTTTTGCCTTTGTGTTGCAAGGCAAGGAGCTGAGGAGCCAGGTAGCAGCAGAGATGATGGCGAAGTGGTGAAGCATGTGCCTGCACTGGCTTGTGAGAACCTGTGAGCACGTGAGTGTGTGTGTGTGTGTGTGTGTGTGTGTGTGTGTGTGTCCAGGGGTGTGGGTCTGTTTTCTTCTGAATAAGCACACCCATTCATTAGGACACACAGAAGGGATTTCTGACTCCCAAGTGTTCTCCCCAAGTCCTCAGTACAGCCTTCATTTCCCAGAAACTAACAAGTAGTGCAAAATGGATTGAAGAACATTTCAGATTTATGTTTTATCCATCTGTGCATGTTTTCTGAAACCTACTAGCAAGAAAATAACTTATAGGAGACCTTATCTTGTTAGTTTGTCTAATTAGGATAAACAGCCTTGAAAAGAATTTCCAGTTGGCATTATTACTATATCCAAGTATCCCTCGGAGAGTGTTCTCTTACAATGCGTGTGAACGGGCTGCCTACCTTCATGCAATTAGTTACAAAACAACTGGCATGTGTAATCAGGGGCCCGCATTCACGAGTACAAAACATTTGTATTGCTCAAAGGTGCTTCTTTGTTGCAAATCACCTCCTTGGCAACAGCTAATGTTTGCAATTAAGAACAGAGGAGCACTCCCTCTAGAAAATCCTGTCTTCTGTGAAAACTTTCTGTGAAATGATTCTGTGGGTGGAAACGTATGTTTTACCAAAACGTTCCGATGAAACCTTGAGAATGCACGCACTGGGAACACAAGGAAAACAGAACACAGGTTTCCTTAAAGCAACACTGTGAGCTTTTGGATTGCTGGTGAGGGGTAACTTCCAGGGGACTTGTGACAAATAAGACGTGACTGTGGTGTTATTCACATGAATTTGATTTCTGAATATAGATTAGGTCTCCTTGGAAGTTTCTGTGCAGGTTAAAGTTAAGGTTGGCTGTTCAATACATGCGACCCAAGGACAATGCTGTCCCTTTAAACATCCTTGGATCTATTTGACCTTTTTCGCCCTAAAACTGGGGAACAGGGGTGAGAGGTGCCCAGCTGGTCTCACGGGACTCTGAGCTGTCATTTTCCCTTTTATGCCAACTTTACCTTTGGACGATGGAGAGACTGCTGAGCCTTTTTAAGTCCTGACAGGACAGAGAAATGCAGACACCATTTTGAGCTGTACATCTCAAACAATTAAAATATTAAATGCTGGGGGGTGGGGGCATGAGTGGGGAGGGCTGGGGATTGGAATGGGGGTTTGAGGACAAATATGTGATACCTTAGTCAATAAAGAAATTAAAAAAATATTAAATGCTAATTGGATTTTTCCTGGGGACTTTTGAGATCCCTGCACCACATAGAGTAAATGTAATGCCAGTGGCCTGAGCTCTGAGGACGGCCCTCAGGCTGTGGGGTGCGTCCTTGCCACCTGGGGGCTTGCTGACACAGATCACCTGCCAGGGCCCTCCTATCTGATCCCACAGGCCCGGGTGGGGCCTGAAAAGGTGCATGGCTAACAAGTTCCCAAGTGAGGCTGCTGCTGCTGGTCCAGGGTGAGCCTTCAGGAGTCACTGGGGCGGGAAACGCCAGCACAGGGGGCTCTGAGGAGGGCGCGCTGCAGGTGTGAGGGGAGGAGATTGGGGTACAGTAGTGATGACCTCAGAACTGGGGGTTGAGCCTGTGCTTTTTACAGTACACCCATCACCTGATGGGACACTGGGCTTGGGGATGCTGTCTGGGGGAGGACAGGGGAAAGAGAGATCAAGAGGAGTTTGTTGGAAAAGGTTACCCAATTCTTAGTGAGGAAGAAAAGACAAGATATGGTGGCATTTCCATGGATATGGTCATGGAGCCCAGTGAAATGGAGTTTTCTTCTTTTCTTAACATCTGTCAGCTCTAGCATAACAACTGTCAAACATGTGCAAGTTTACAACATTGGGCAGACAACTAAGAATGTCATCCCACTAGATCAGTGGTTGGCAAATAGTGACTCATGAACCATATGTGGCTCTTTGGCCCCTTGAGTGCACCTCAATCAGATTGAGGATGTTTTTAGCAAAGGCCAGTTTAGGAGTATCCCAATTAACTTAATAACAATGTACCTACCTATACAATTTAAGTTTACAAAATTTGGCTCTCAAAAGAAATTTCAATTGTTGCACTGTTGATATTTTGGCTCTGTTGACTAATGAGTTTGCCGATCACTGTATTAGATGAATAACTCTGATCACCAACAAATCTCAGATGAGAGCTTGGCCAGTCCCACTGGAGGTTCTGTAGGAGCAGACTCCCTGACAAGACAGGGGTGTGTGGGAGAATGAAGCCCAGCCCACAACTTCAATCCCCCTGGCCCCCTCACCTCTCAGGAATCCTGAAATGCCCACCACCTCTGCTTTCATCTCTTCATTACCATCAAATAACATTTCTCAAGTTTACTCCATCATGGGCCTGTCTCCTTCCCTTCCGCTCAAGTGTTCTCCTTCGTGTCCCTTTCTCTCCGGGCGTGTTCTCAGTTATGCTGACACTTTCACTCTGGCTGATAACTCTGCGCATTGGCCTGCCCAGCCTGTGGGGCTTAGCGTTTCCAGAAATGGCATCCCATCTGAACTGAATGCAGGCTGGGCTCCTACTTGTTGGACTGAAGAATTCATCCTACAGCTGTGCCCCAAGAATGGTGAACAATAACGGAGGGAATTCACAGATGCCTGTGCAGTGGAACAGGGAGAGGAGGGAAGGGGCAGGGGAATGGGAAGAGAGTGACTGAGCTTCCTTCTCACTGTACACGCTCACAACCTTCCTTCGGAGGACAAAATGCCTCCGCCCTAAGGAGGCCGCGATGGACGTGCATTAGGATCTCACGAAGGAAATTCTAAACTGCACGGCCCCTCATCACGGAGCTCTCCCTCCCACTTACCTCATCGAGGCATCGCTCATACTGCTCCCTTTGATTCTCATTTTCCAAAGCCAGTGCTGAATTCTCTGCCTGCAGCAAGAAACAAAAATAATACAAATGGATCAATGAAGCGTTGTATTACCTGACAACCCAGTCAATACAGCCTCTCTGCAGACCTCCTCAGGATCCCAGCAACCTTTGAGGAGAGCCTCTGATGAGTGTGCTCCGAGTACCATCGCAAACATCTCAGGGCTGACTTCTGTCTTAGCCTCGTGCGTCTCCACAATACACCCCAACCTGAAGAATGAATGTGTAGAACCCTGCATAGGAGAGGGCCTGATGGGAGAGCATCCTATAGAAAGATTACAATGTTCATTTCATCCTATGAAACTGTAAATGTCAGAATGTCTTAATCCACTTCTTTAGCACCTGCCGCAGCTGCATGACCCAACATGTGTGTGGACCATAGAGAAGAATCTCAGGTGAACTCACCAAAGTGCGATTCTGAATGCAAAGTAAACACGCTTTTCCCTTTAATCAATGCCTTTTTAAAAAAAAATATATTTTATTGATTTTGTACAGAGAGGAAGGGGGAGAGATAGAGAGTTAGAAACATCGATGAGAGAGAGTCATCGATCAGTTGCCTCTTGCACACCCCCTACTGGGGATATGCCCGCAACCAAGGTACATGCCCTTGACCGGAATCGAACCCGGGTCCCGTCAGTCCCCAAGCCGACGCTCTATCCATTGAGCTAAACCGGTCCCGGCTAATCAATGCCTTTTGAACTTAAGAATACAATGAGAAATTTAAGAATTGGATTATGCTTAAGCGTCCTTCTCCCTGTCTCTCATTTTAGAATTAACTGCTTTTCTGACCCTCGGAGCCATGTGTGTATCTGAATGCTATATCGATTACTGTACCAACCCTGTCAAACTCAAAGGCTAGCACATGCCAAATAAATGAGGCCTGTGGCCTGAGGGCCGAGAGTTTGACATGCTTGCTCTAGGGTTCTAGGTGAAATATGGTCACTCATTATAATGTGGAATAATAAGGGGGAAATCAATCAGAATATGCACGTTAGATGGTAGGGGGTCATGCCATGGTGGCGTAAGAACTGCCCTTTGCATCCTATGGCCTGGGTCCATTTCTACCACTGTTGGCCCAGCCTGACTCCCAAACTGTACAAGTTACTCCTCCTCATGGCTGAGACCATGACCACCCACCCACCCCACTTCCCTAGCAATCATGGCTCTACCAGTCCCTTCCCCACAACCTCCCTGATGGGGGAGGGGAGTAGGAAGCTCTGAAATAATTATTTCCAAAATTATGGTATAATGTTTAGGTGGTACATAGACCAACATGTACTCCTTTATAGCTTCTTCCTACCAATTATTTTTAAAAATATATTTGGAAATAATTTCACACAGATGATTTGCAAGAATAGTATGAACTGCTGCTCTTTCCTCAGATGCACCAATTGTTAACATTTTGCTATATCATTCTTTTTCTTCCCCCCCCCCCTGCCTCCTGCAACTTGAAGGCAAGTTGCAAACATGATGCTCTATTGCCTTAATTACTTCAATGTATTTTCTAACAACAAAGACATTCTCTTACACAACACAATTTAGTTTTCAATGTCAGGAAGCATAACATTAATATAGTGCCACAATCTAATCTAATCCTTATTCCAATTTCATCCTCTGTCCCAATAATGTCGTTATAGCACATTTCTTCCAGTTCAGAGTCCAATGCAGGATCATGCATTGCATCTATTTGTCATCCATCCAGAATCCTTTAATTCTGAAATAGTTCCTGTGTTTCATGCTGCTGACTCACCCTTTCCTTCTTTTCCTCCTTTCTTCCCTCTCTCCCTCTCTCATTTCCTCTTTCCCTCCCTCTCTTCCTTTTTCTCTCCCTTCCTTCTTCTTCTTTTTTTTTCTCTCTTCAAAGTAGAGGTCATTTATTTTCTGGAGTGTTCCTAATTTGGATCTGTTTCAGCTTTCCTCATGCACACCTGGCAGGGGTAGCACAGGTGATGCTGGGTCCTTCTCAGTGCATTATGGACGCATGTGATATTCACGCGTCCTCTCATTGGACGAGTTAACTTTGATCACTAGATTAAGGTGGGATCTGCCAAATATCTCCACTGCGAAGTCACTCTCTTTTCCTTTATAATTAATAAGTAAACCATGGGGAGGGACTTAGAGATGATGAAAAGAGCTTAGTTCTTATCAAACATTCATCATCACCTGAGTTTAGCAACGAGTCTTCCCTGAATCAGTGATAACTTTGTAAATGATGGTTTCTATCATTTCTCTACCTACATTTTTTAGTTTTCAATTAATCTAAAGACAGTGCTTTTCCTAACTATTAATATTTATTAGGATGAGTAGTTGGATTCTTATATTATTGAAAGGGTCAGAAATTATAACTGTCAGTATTTATTTGGATGATCACATTGCCCCCCCTTGGGCAGATGAACCCCATCATGCTGTGTCCTTTTGACCTGTTTCATCAGTTAAAAGGCATTCTCTTCCTTTTTTTTTTTTTTTTTTTTTTTTTTTTTTTTTTGCCACATGGGAATGTTTCAGGTGCATTTGCGTTTTCCTTGCCCCATCCCTGAAATGGACCATTTCCTCAAGGAATCCTGCTTCCTCGGTGAGTGCCATTTGGAAACTAAGACCTGGTGTTAATACATGTCAGTTGCTGCAGAGGAGTCATTGCTTTCTTCACACACACACACACACACACACACACACACACACACACATTTCAACCACAGAACAAACAATTCTTCCTTTTCCTATTTTCCTACTTGTATCTTCTTTTTTCTAGAACATGGTCTTGCAAGATCATACTCAGTTCTTCAATCCTACAATGCACACACAATTTTTAACCACAAAAGACAGTATTAGAAATAATTCACAACTTTTTTTTTTTTTTTTTTTTTTTTTTTTTTAGAATGAAGGTACACAGTGAAAATAATGTGTTCAACAATTACTACACTGGTTCCCCCAACATTAGTGTGGTTATGCTATTTACTAGTATTTGACATTCAGTTCACTTATATTTTTCTGATTGTATTCAAATCTAATCTCTCCTCTTCTTGTTGCTGTGTTTTTGTTTTTGATCATGGAAAAACATTAACATGATTGCAAAAGTCAAAACCACACTAAAAGGTACACTCCGTGAGGTACCCCTCCTACAGCCACATTGACAGCCACATACTCTTTAGGTTCTTTACTCCTCCTGTTGTCTTATTTGAGTTATGACTACTGAGTTAAAGTAGTCATATGTCCCTTACCTCCCCCCATTACATATGCTTCAGTCTCTTTCCCTCTCACTCCCTTTCCACCCACTTCCTACTTGCATTTTTTCTACTTTGTTGGATATTACAGTCACATACTATTCTTACACTCTTGCCCTTTCCCTTGTTTTAGCCTCCTTAATGGATGATGATTTATTTCTATTCCACCATAAAATTTCCCCTCTTCCTTTTTCATCACAAACACATTTCCCAATGGCACCTCCCCTACCACCTCTTTCCTCTTTGCTTCCTTCTCTCTAGAGCGTGGCCTGGCTGACAGCTACCTCAGGCCTCACACTGGCCCGCCCTGCCCAGAGCCACCCGGGGAGCCAGCCGTCTGCACCTGTGGTCAGTACTGAGCATGTGCCCTGGGACCTTCCCCTCTGGGAGTCTTTCCCCACACCCTCTGCTGCCATCCTCCGACACACACACTACAGACAGTTCTGTGGGTACTCGGTATTCATTTTTTCTCTTACAGGAATTTGAAGTCATATTGCTCTGTTTTCTGGTAATGCAGAAGACTGGGTTACTTGTTTTTTTGTGTGTGTGTGTTTCTGATGACTTGAATAATGTGTGTTGTGTTTTGGGTTTTTGATTTTGTTTTTTCAGATGTACTGCAAGTTTCAGACTTAGGCCAGTTTGCTCCTCGGCAATGAGACTGGAGTGAAGAATTGAGGCAGCGAGCAGAGGGAAGACCTGTGTGCAGGTGTCCTTGCCCTAGGTCCTCCGGACCTTACTCCTAGCTTGAGGCCTGGGATTCAAAGCCATTTCTTCTTCAGGTTTCAGTCCTAATCTTGGCTTCCTCCTTGTCCCTCTGGGCTCCAATCCCTGTTTCAGCTACATCCCCAACTTTCTGTCCCTGAGGCGAGACTTTGCCATATTTTTCCATTCCCCTCATGGACAGATATCTGCCACACAGCCGGGACTGGTTTGGCTCAGTGGATAGAGCGTCGGCTGCAGACTGAAAGGTCCCGGCTTCGATTCCGGTCAAGGGCATGTACCTTGGTTGCGGGCATATCCCCAGTAGGGGATGTGCAAGAGGCAGCTGATCGATGATTCTCTCTCATCGATGTTTCTAACTATCTCTCTCTTCCTCTCTGTAAGAAATCAATAATATATATATATATATATATATATATATATATATATATATATATATATATATAAAGATATCTGCCACACAGCCCGACCCTTAGACCCTCACATTGACCCTCTGTTTGAACTTTGAAAACGTTGGTCATGCACAAACTGCTTCTCCTCCTCACGCCCCACCCAAACCAGACGGGGAGCTGGGTCTGGCTCCTGGCTGTGCCCTCCGGGGATCGCTCAGGCTGTCACAGAGCAGCTGCTCTGAACCGCAGCGGGTAGAGCCTCTGCTCTCCTCACCGGGTGGGAGGGCTGGGTCCACGTGCCAGTTTCGTTCCACTGCCGTTTACCTGGCAATACGGGGCTGTGTAACCTTCAGCAGGTTTTTCAACCTTGCTGGGCTTACAGGTCTTTACCTAATCGTTCTAAGGGAACAACCTTGCCAATCTACAAAGTGACTTCCAGTTCAAATTTTCAAATGCCATGATATAGGGGGGAAACTACTGGAGTTATGATTCTAGGAAACTTTTTTTAGGAGAAATGTCTCTTTGCTTTTGCAAAGTCTGCTGGTTTGAGTGAGGCAATGGCATGAGGGTAATGGGAAGAGATAAAGAAGAGAATGGCAATGCCGGTTTACATTGTTTTCACTTTAAACATCTTGGGGAAAAATGGGTGAGGAAATAAAGCTGAAAATGG